GCGTGGGATACACCGGGTCCATCTTGTTGAGAGTCAGGGAGATCATTCGCATGATGACGGCAGCATAACAAAGGCCACCTCCGCACTCATGTTGCCCTGGTAGCATACCTTGGCCAGGCCCGGAGTGACAAGAGCAACAGCATGTCTTGACGTTGAAATATCTCGTCAGAATCTGCGAGGGATAGCGGAGAAGACAATATTCCACCCAAGCAATGAAAAAGCAAAGGCGCGATCCGAGCAATCGTATAGAAACAGGACTGTAGTAACCGAAGGAAGAAAAGAGGATGCAGCACAGGAAGAGAGAGCGTCGTCGCCACCAAAGACATCTCATCTCGCGTCGCCGGTTAAAGTTAACGGGCCATCGTCAATCGCAAGACTCTCGACCGGAACGAGCAACTCAGGGCCCATAAGATGATTTCCCGCGGCATGAAGACCGCCGGCCTGAATCACGGCGTCAGTGATTGTGTCGTCCCAACTTTCACCCTTCATATCCTTCTTGAATTGAGAGGAATGCTTGCAAGCCGGTACCAGCTATAACGATATGATAGACTATAGACTTCCTGGCTAATCAAAGGAGGTAAACATCATCCAATGGGTAAATATCGCCCAATACTACCTCAGGAAGCTAATATACATGTCAGAGTAGTCACTATCCAGTGTCCAGTGGTGCCTCTCGGCCTTTCTGAGGATAGATCTTCCTATTTACTATTGTATGCTGCCAATACAGTAGAAATAGGGGGTTATGCCGTGATCACCGACGAGCTTGTGCGCAGTATGTGTGCCCCGTTGTTGGCACCTTTGGATGCTAAAGGATTAGTTCGGTGTAGGTAGATAGTGCGGGGTCGATAATATCACTGTTCTATGCTGCAATCGACCCATTGTGGTTCGTTCTCCTAAAGCCTGAAGCTGAATGCTACGCCATTTCCGTGTTTTCGGCTAGCATTATTGATCCTGGTAGCGATCTATGGAGATACATGCCAGGGGTTGCAGCCAAAGTCCTGAGGGGAAAGCTCCTCGCTGTGAAAATACTTCCTTAAGAAAGTCAGCTGGTAAAGGCCACTGGGCACCGATCTAGATTCATTGACAGCAAGGCCTCGATAGAATATTCTATCCAGTCTAGGTGATTGCGCAGACTGTCTTGGGGAAATTTGAGATTTGAAACGTGGCTCTCCCAGAGTGAGGGAGTATGTTAAGATCGAGTACAGGACTAGAACGTTGCCCGGTCAATCTCTGTATGGAAGCCATTCAAGAGATTTAATATTGAACTAACTGTATTCCCTAATCATAATGTTGGGCTTCACGTAGTCTAATAATATTACCTTCATTGCCTGAATTCCACTTGTCGACCTCCATAAAGGCTTCCCATGCATGTATTGAATGTTTATAGGCTATGACAGAAGCTCGCCTAGGCATATAAGTGATTTAGATGATTACAACGTCGTCCTACGATGGGGAAGCTGAACTGAGCGCGCTAATTCCATGGTTTATAAAGGGGGTTGACATTTCACCTACATTCACAGACTTGTCCTCAAGGGACTGTGCCACGCATCATGGAGTATGATAGAGTGATTGTGGAAGAAGATCATTGAATAGACCCTGCCAGGATAGCCCTCCAATGCCTATCGGTGTGTGCCCATCGTGTGATTATCTCATTGATATGGGATTCCCCTGATTTCCAAATAAAATCAATGCAGTGAAGAATAGCTCTAGCCAAAATTAAATCATCTACTCTGGTCATTCCCGATACAAAGCAACCTCTCCAACCAGACAAACAATATTCAATATCACCATGAATGAGGCTAAAAATTGTAAGCACCCGATCAAGCCATCACTTCGCCCCCTTCACTTCCTCTGCAAAATCAACTAGCAGACGATTGACCACTTCCGGCTGCTCCAGCTGCACCCAATGCCCAGCATCAATCTCCTCAATCCTGCCACCGGGAGCCGTCATCCGCGAAGAGGCGCTTTGCAAATCCGCCCGACAGACATAATCCTGCTTCGCCGCTACGAACAAACTCGGCACCGGACACAGCCTCTCTTCCACCGGGATAGCAGCCTCATCATCAAGATTAACACCCCGCATAGCTGCCTTATACCACGAGAGGGGCCCGGCATAGCCGCCCTCAGCGAAGATACGACTGTGAATGGCATACTCCTCGGAGGAATACCACGAGGGGATGGGGGTTGTGCGCCCAGAGCGGACAAACTCGGCCGCTTTGCCTGTGGGGGCGAAGTCGGATTTCCAAAGGGAGGGATCGTTGGGGTAGAGGAGGCTGAATACGGAGGCGGGCTATTTGATTTTGTTAGTTGGAGTTGAATTTATATATTCGTGAAGAGTTGAAGGGTGCGTACGTGGTTGGCGCAGTCTTCCGCCGCCTCCTCGGTGCCGTGCCATTTCCAGTAGCCGAAGGTTTCGTAGCCGATTATGCTTTTGGTTTTCTCGCAGATAGCGTCTGTTGTTGTTAGCTGGGGGTTGATGGAGATGGGGATCAGGGAACAGACCGACGTCCCAGTGCATGCCTGCCTGGATGTATGCCACGGCGATTGTGACTAGACCGTAGAAGCGATCGCGATGGTACATGGCTAGACGGGATGCAAGGCCAACTCCCCTGTTCATATTACATCAGTTGGCGATGCGAAAACAATTGACGCGAGATATCAGCCTCTAGTAGTGATGTTGTAGTCCCTTTTGCAGACAAGGATATACGAAACATGGGGGAAATCGCAATAGAAGCGCAGATTTTCGTACCAATCGTGCCCCACCATGACTACTTTATCTATACCCTCTCTATCCAGTATCTCAATGATATGTTTGCTCATGGTTTTGTTGCGATAAGCGTTTAGATCACTGGGCTTGTCGGTATCGCCGTATCCGAGAAGGTCCGGCGCAATGACACCATATCCGGCATTCTGTAAGCCGGTTATCTGGTGACGCCAGTCATACGACGAAGACGGATATCCATGGAGAAGAAGGAAGGAGACTTGGTCTGGAGTCGACGGAGGAACAGCGACATATCCGTACGTTGTGCCGTCGGAGAGCTGGACCTTCTTCGCTAAGGAGGGAAATGCCGTAGACGCCATGATTCAATTCGGTACAGTCGATGTGGTGTTGTGAGCATTGACTGAAGTGTTGGGCAGACCGTACCCATGCTATATATTAAGAAAATTCTAGACAAGGATGACATTGGACGCAAAGCTCGGATCGAGGGGACGTGGGCCTAGGGCCATACTAGTCTAATGTTATCTCCGGCACAGCCCCGCGGGGTAGAAAGATTGGCAAGACCGGAATATATGCAACTAAGCTGGAGAAACATGATTGCACTCGGATGCTTACATTTAACTACCCAGCTGCTGGACAGTGGGATCTAGATACTCGTATGAATGAGGGTCATCGGAAGATTTACCCGCTGAAGCAGTGCGGATCCAAGTCCCGATTGCGTAGAAAAACTTCCTGTGAGGCGACTCAATCTGCCTTGCGCGCTTGACGAATGTGGGGCATACCGGTGTTTTCGGTGGAGGACTGCGTATATGCACTGTAGTTTATACTCGAACAGAATAATGTGCTAAAATTATGCATTATTAAGCTCTGTCCTGCATTTTGGTACTTTTCGCCAAGTATATATCCGGTGTCTTCCATATCCCTTCACCAGACGCCAGTGCTGGAAAACAACAATATTGAAATACGAATGAGCTCACACCAAAGCTCAGTAAGCTGCACTATACATGGCAGAAGTGTAGTGATTTTCAGATTCAAACGTTAGTACGGTGACACCTTCTCCGAGAACGTCTGTACGCCGATATGATGGCCCAACGCCTATTTAGTTCCTCTTCCTGTTATGTCTCTTCCTTATCTTCATTGTTGAGTAAAGAAACTATGCTAGGAAGACATTCATTCCTGCACTACACACTACCTCTCTTTTTTGTCTCCGATGCCATCCCACCTCGGACTATATGTTGCAACCCAATTGCTACTGCGATACTGCAATCGTGCACATTAGTTGCAGGTCCTCCTAGTCTCCGAACCCCGATAGGAGCGATATCGTTTACTTCACGGTTTTGCTTTACTAGAGTCAGTGCGAGTTGCCTCAAGCCATTGCAATGGGTGGACTACCTGTGCGAGTGAGATCACTTGTCAAGCTTTGAAGGCGACAGGGTATGCGCTACCGTGCGGGCAACGGACGTCGCTTATTGCTGAGTTAGCTCGGCCCCTAATGTTCTTAGCTCGGTTCGTCTACCAGGAGATTGAAATCAAAATGTAGGAAGCATAAAGACGACAGAGCGAATGAATGGACTAGCGGCAGTTACGGAGGTGAAACAAGCCACAGAGTAAGTAAAATCTCATGAAACACTGCCGGATGCTCCACACTGCCTGGCCTCGTCAGGGCTGCCGAGGAAGATAATAAATCAGCCCCCCGAAGAACCCTAAAACCAATTTCCGACCAATGCTCTGACCAGTACAACCACAACTGGCATTCACAATGGGTACAGTCATTTCTTACCTTTTTCACTCAGACTTAACAAATTCGCTGTCAAATGATTCAGTCCCCAATTCAATCAAAGTGGCTCCATCGAGGTACAGCGAAGCAAAACGGAGCCAACATACGTGTCGGTGCGGATCACCAATGATCGCGCTGTGGGGCGCCCAATTACTCCCAGTATAGCTCACTTGGGCTCTATATTATGGAGCTTCTGTCGGGACGCAGAAGGGAAATTAAAACATGACATAATCCCAGTTGGCTTTCGTTGTGCGTCTCACCATGGCTATAGGTGAGTTTCTACTTAAAAGAACCTGGGATGCTGGTCACGTTCACTGACACCCTTCCTGCTTAGATGCGACCAAAGCTTTCGAGATTGAGTAAGTAGAGCCCGAGCTGGGCACTAGTTCACTGGACGAATCAGCCGTGGTTTGAGCAATTCTCGGACGATCCATTCACCGCTGGAAGTATCTGGGCGAGAAAACTGCGACCGGACCGTCAACGTAGCGGACAGACAGCGCCAACATGATGCTATTCGAGCAACGGAAGAAGAAGGTGTTGGAGATAGCGGAGCAAGCCAACGATGCTCTGAAAACGATCCAAGAAGTCGGCCAGAAACTTAATGTCACCAGCGATACCGTCAAAAAGGTCATTGAGACGATCAAGATCGCCGCGAACTCGTTCGGCGACAAAGCCGTCTATGCCTCCGCTTTCACCGGCACCGTGGGGGCAGTCGGCATCGCTGCCAACATGATCGCAACGTATCAAGGGGTGGGCGAGCTGCGGGCGATCGCAGGACACCTGAAAAGTATGAGCGAGACACAAAGAGCCGAGCTTGCGCTGGCAGGGGGGACGGCCTTCGCCGAAAATATCTATGTGATGCTGAAATCGAAGCTCGAAAAGTCGGACCCCGAGCTCGACTGGTATTTCGTCTATCATCCGGACACAGACTGGACGTATCATTTCGAGGAGAAGCTGCGGACAAAGGGTCTTTTGGGTCGGAATTTCATTGGCATTGTGCATGACCTCGATGCTCTGGTCGCCTTCATGTCGTCTGTTCGAGATGTTTACGCCTCGCGACATCCACGACGGAGAGCACCTTTCTTCCACCTGGTGATTCCGGCCTACGAGCCAATTGTTATACCCACACCGCTGCTTATTCCGGAGAAACTGCATCCATTCCGGATCGAGGGCGATATTCACCGCGGAACATACCTAGTGTGGATGAATCTACCAGGTGTGGACGAGAAAGCCGTTCAGAATATCGGGGTATTCCAACCGCCGCGGTCGATATGGGACAACATCATGCTCCAAGGTAAATCTGCCTACATCCAGCGTCATTCAAAGATGAATGGTCTACTTCACCTGCCAGAAGCATATCAGCTAACTAGTACCTACCAGTCGGTCTCGTCCAAAACCCACCTCCCCGTTTCCTCGGCTCCAGTACCCAAAAGATCGAACAGCCCCAGACCACTCAGCTCCCTGAGCCAGCACCCGTTGCAGCTATCACAGCGCCCGAGCCAGAAAAGGGCGAGATACCGTCGCTGAAATCCATCCGTGGATCTATTCGCCGTGCACAAACGTACCAGGACAGCGAGGCGGGATCGACACACAGTTCCCGATCGCATTCTCGCCGAAGACGCAGGCGACATCGCTCGAACAGTGTGAGCTATATATTCACCTGAGAATTTATTATTTTGCTTTTTGGTGTTATGTTCTTTGCATGGGTTGTCATATTTATATAAATCATACTCGCACTTTGGCGGTGGGAGGATATTTGCTGGTGTTTTCTGCAGGGTACTGGGCGTGTCTGAGCCAATAAATCTATTGAATTTTATTTTACGACTAATTATTCGAATTATAAACAAGTTATTCCTGTAGCCTTGCAGTGAGAGGCTAGATTGGCCTCAAAGTGACACATAGATGGTTGATTAGAGCCAAGTCTGGGAGAAAAGATGGCCGTCGAACTGAGCGCAACGAGAACTAAACAAGCGGTCTAGATGACTCAAGACAAACCCCTCCAAGCTTCCTCCCCAATTTATTTTATTTTTCTTTTATTTATTTTTCCCCCAAGCTTCTCTGAATACATGCATAAACAATAAACACACCCTAACGCAAAATGCGGGGAATTCCGTTCCCACAACCCAAACCCTCACACATTAAATCCATAGAATTCAACCCCAACCAAGCAAGCCAACCTCCCCCCAAAATACGTACCTGATTAAATCCCTAAATCGTAAATCCTAAATTCAAGATCCAAGAACCCACCGACAAAAAGAGTAAACAAACCCAATCCTGCAACTCCGCCAGACTCCTCACCGCCCAATCAGCGCCCCCTCCAGCGGCGAGGCCCACAAGCCCTAAAGGCATCCTCGCATGCATAACAAAAAGACTGACGTGGTTAGCATGGCGCCCAACGTGTCTTGCGGATCCCATTCGACGCATGGCCCCGATGCATAGAGCGTGACTGGACAGCTCACACCTGCATTGATCCCTGACTTGAATTCGAGACGTTGCCTTTCATGCCTTGGAAGAAAAAGAAACAAGACCTGAACTGACTGCATGGGGGGTTTTTTAAAGAGGGGATTCTCTGTCTGGGTGGGGTAAATTCTCCGGTTTGTTTTTGTTTTGCTTTTGGTTCTGGCTTTGGTTTCTGGGACTGGTGCTGTGTGGGTTTGTTTAGTGTTTGATTTTAAGAGTAAAAGAGAGAAGAAGAAGAGTAAAGGAAAAAATGCATCTAGATCCCATCGAAGAGACGTCGTACATGGACGGCGAGGTTCGGGAATATCCACAGCCGACGACAAGGTTCGACCCAGACCCTCATTCCTACTTAGTCTGATGAGAATAGAAGCTATTGCGAACACGAATAACTGACGACTCAAAACCCCAGCCCCTACAAAGCCCCCGTCGTCACTCTCATCATCGGCCGGGACGAATACATCATCCCGGAGTTCTACCTGCGGCAATTCCCCCAGCTACGCAGAAGCCCCAAGGCCTTTGAGCAGGGCTACAACCCCAGTCTGAAGTTTGTCTCCACTCTCGATGTCGACGAAGACATCGGCCACACGCTTGTCCACTACCTCTACACAGGCGAATACGAGACTCTCCGCGATGGTCCGGATCCCAGCATCCCCCGGCGAACGATAGAATACAGACGCAGCGCGTTTGCCTACTTGGCCGCAAGGAAATATGGTCTCGGTGGACTGGAGGCCCACGCGAAGCATTACATCGAAGTGTTTGACCGCGATGTACCCACGCCCGACATTCTGCGGATCGCGCGGAGCATCTACTCAAAGCTGCCGCGGGACGAGACATGGTTTCCGGACTACATACGGGTGAAGATGGAGGACGAGTTCGAGGCGGACGACGCGGTGTTCAAGCGGGAGTGGTTTCTGAATGGCATTGGACGGGACGCGTCATTTGACCGGCTGCTCGTGCAGATTATGGCGGAGATCTACTCGGAGAAGTTGGCGGCGGTGAATTTCCGGCGACTCGAGAACGGACGGCATATTGTGCATTCGATGGCGAATGGGGATGCGGTGCGGATTGTCGAGGAGACGATTCCCGAGGAGCCGGAGGAGGAGCCTGCGTTTGAGGATGTCGTGCCGGAGGTCGAGCCCAGTCATGCGTATGACGGGTCGACGGAGGACGAAGGCACTGCTGCGTACAGTGGTAAACGAGAGTCAGAGCCGGTCAGCGAGGACTGGCCGCTCACGCCGTCGCCGCCTCCCTCTGCTTCTTCGCCGCATCCTACCGACGAGACCATCGCTGTCGATGAGCAGCCTTCCTTTCCGAAACCTGAGCCCCAAACTCACCCCGAGCCCGGCGAAGAGCGCAAAGATGACAATTGGGGCGCCTGGGCGCCGCTCCGCAAACGGGATAAGAAGAAGAAGAAAAACAAGAAACTCAAGATCGTCGAGCCGGAGGCTGAACCCAGAGAGGACGCCCAGAAGGAACGGTGGCCGGAGGTTCGCCACGTTACGTCTGATGAGTCGTATGGTTTTGGGCCGCCGACGCCCTTGAGTCCGGTTTATGAAGAGGAGGTGCCTCTGCCTTTGAGGCCAGCTTCGGCGTCACTTCTGGAGGGGCCGAGTTATTGACATTAGTGGTGATATTTTCAGATTGTACATATGTTTATTTCTTTTTTCTCGGGTGCATCTTCGGATACGGTTTGCAAAAGGTTGCGTGGCACTACAAAGATTGAGCATAGCTTCAGATTGAGATCTAGATTTCTGTTCTACTACATTGTCCAGGGTTCAGAGTGGAGTTTCCATCATAAGCCGTAGTGATTAGTGGTGTTGGTAATCTATACGCACTTATTAGCTGGACTGTAGCTGGGTATATATCACTGATAAAGCACGTACCCGAATCTTATACTTGGGCTAAGCTAATTGGAGAGGCCTGATATCAAGAGAGTCTTATGCTATAAAGTCCCGGATACCAAAGTCTATGTTCTATAACAATGTACAAAAAACCTCCATTTCAGAAGACATTCCAAATTCCCATCGAGGAGTCCACACCTGCAGCAGCGGCACCAACAAGACCGCAGATATCCAAAAACAACCCATTAAAGCGATTTCATCTCCTGAACAATGCAGCTTCAGTATCATAAGTATACCGCAGATCAAGATGCCAGTGATTCGCCGAGACAGGCTTCGCACACATCCACGCCTCATCCAAGGCGTTAACCAACTCATCCGGAAGAGGGCCCTGCTGCAGCGCTCTCAAGTTCTGCTGCAACTGGCCAAAGCTGCTCACACCAATCAGGATACCGTCCTTGCCATCGCCCTCGAGGCGCAACTGAGAATGATGACAAAGCCATCGAAAGGCGACATCGGGCAACGTCAGGCTATGCTTCTCAGCCATAGGTCTGATGATATCCAGTGCATTTAGCACGGAGTCATTGAGGTATCGCTGACGGTACAAAGCCCCGGTCGTGTTCTTGTCACTGAAGCGGCCTTCCTCTGGTACTGCAGCGCCTGCTTGATACTTCCCGGAGAGTATTCCCCCGGCTAGCGGGTTGTAGACGACGATTTCGAGCCCATAGCGACGGCAGCAAGGGATCAATTCCGTTTCAATGTTTCGGGCTTTTCCAAGTCAGTTGGTATCAAACCCACAAGAAATCATGATAATCACTCACTGATGGCATTATACATAGCCTGATAGATGGTCGGCCGCACCCAACCTCTCTCCGCACACAGGATGACAATCTCCGCAACCTCGAACGCGGTATAGTTACTCAGCCCCAAGCGCTTGAACCTCCCCTCCCGATAGAGCTCATCCACAGCCTCAAGGGTCTCAGCAAACGGGACCGACCGGTCTGCCGCATGCAGGTAGAAGATATCCACCTGGTCCGTCTGAAGAGCGGACAAGGACTCATGGAACTTCCTGCGCAGCGAGGCCGGCTTGTGCATTCCGGGTTGAGTCGGATACACCTTGGTCGCGAGGCTCAGGCCACGCTCCTTCCATCCAACCGCCGCTGTGAATTCTTCTTGTTTCTCGTCGAGGTACATGCGCGCCGTGTCAACTTCGTTGTATCCCTGCGACGTGAGGTAATCGAGGCATTGGCCGAATTCAGCGAGAGAGGTGATTCGCGCGCCCTTGTTGACGTCAGGGCCGAATGTCATCAGTCCCAAAATAACGCGTGGGTGGTATGTAGGTTCAGATGCCATAGTTTCTGTTATTTTGGGTATAGCTGGGTAGAGGGATATTGGATGTTGTTTGTGGGATGATTGGTACGAATTCTCTACTGGCGGAATCCAGGTTTAAATACGATTCTGGAAGGCAAGATAGCACATAGAAATTGTGGAACCTGTCTCCCGAAAAAGCAATCCTTGTGGAGCTATACTCAGCGTGATTTGTGATCGTCTACACGTTAGATTTGTGATAACAGACCAGGGCTTTGAGCGGACTAGATACGGAGCGGAGCGGGGCCGGGCGGAGCATCGGATCGGAAGCAGTTCATGGTGTCCCGCATAATGCCGCCATTCGGCATCTTAGTTGACATTGTGTCATTGGGGAAGGACTAGATCGAAATTTCGTAGCCCAAGACAGAGTTTGCATACGGCGGTCCCATCTGGTATCCTGGGGCGACTTAGATTGCCTCACCAAGTGCACTGAATACCATTAGACGAAGCAGCAAACAATGGAAAGGTAGAGACTGCTTATGTGTAGCTCGCCGTAAATATACTAGATAATACAGGAGAAAGGGATGGCATTAAAGTCTTGCTGGAGCCAACCTATATGGACTGGGGGAATTTTGTGAAGACATACATATTTCGACGCACAGTGAAAACAATATCTACGATTCATCACCAGGATTATCATGTCTGTCAAGTGGAGGAGTTGAGTTTTCAGTATATGAAGAAAATACCTTTAATCACCCCCAAGGAGTAAAAAGGCTCGATGATAATAGATAATCCAGATCCCAAGATTCTCCCATGCCATCGTTCAGCATTTCGACCGGCTGAGATACAAAGGCAGTTGGGATACTGGGCTCCAGAGTACTCGAATCACCCTCCCACGCCATAATATCTTCCTCCACCCTGTTCAATAACTCATAGTCCTCCCTTTTCCGCCTCATATGAATCCGTATAAGGGAACGGGCAGCCACAAAGGTCTCATTGATGGCACTCGTGCCATAGATACCTGCAATCAATCGCAAAGTAGAAAGTGACTTCCCTACACGCTCAAGAGAAGCTCTCGTATCAATTGCAAGCAGGACGCAAATGGTCTGGAAAGGCACATTCACAATATGCCACCAGGGGGAATGTCTCCTAGCCATTTCAGTTGCTTTGTCAATGCCCATGTCTGCCAGCTGCAAGACCAGAGATAAAGCTTTACTGGACACGACACGACCGGATACGCGAAGTCTGCGATAAATGCACAATGCTATATTGCACCGCTTGAGTTCCAAGGCCGGATGAGATAGCGTCAGTTCGGAAGCTTGGAGCAACAGATTCTCTAGTTCTGTCGAGTCAAGATGTCGATCGGGATCCAAGGAGTCCGTCAATCGCCAGATAGCGATGCCGTCTGCTGTCCAGTCTTCTGCGGGAAGGGAGCAGGATGCCCCGCGAGGTATGATACGACATCGTCCGTAGTCGTAGGATATCCATGTATTAAAGAGTTGCGCGATATAGTAGATTCGTTTTCTGAGTTGTGGACTGTAGGAGCTATCCCCAGATGAAGGTAGACAGACATTTGATGGTTCGAGATGCAGCCTGGCTGTCTCAATCATATGCATCAGCGTGCAGCTGGCGATCCATGTCGCGTTTGGTGAGCCGGTCAATCGTAGGTAGATGACGCGGAGTAGCCACCCGACTATGTGATCCACGGTCGGTAATTGTAGCGTAGTCGAATGCTCCAGAGCGGCTCGAGCATACTGCACAATCCGGGACTCCAAATCAACTGGTTGATCGCTGAAAAGGCATGCTAGAGCAGCGATTCCCAGAAGCACGTGGTGGGCAGGGTCAAATAAAGGCTGATCAGGCGACATGGAAAGAATGGCACGCTCAACCATCGCACGATCAAGGAAGTTGTACACGGGATGAACTTCTGCAAAGTATACAGCTGCTAACTGCTGCATATGAGAGATACTCAAGACTTGAGTGAGCGGTGCCTCTGCGTAGCAGCCTATGCTATTGTCTCGCAGGCTGAGGTTCCACGAGCAAAGACGCGGTCTTTCAGTAGAGGAAGAACTGCTTGAGAGGCCTAGTCCCTTCGCGAGGATTGCCCCAGAGTTTATTTCGGCGAGCTCTCTGTACGACGTACAGCTGGGTCCGTTTGGAGATCATCGCGTGCTTGTTCAGTCGGAGCGGTAATCGAACGCCGGCGCTTGCGTGAAGGTTTGTTGTATACGCAGTCTTGGTCTGTTTTTACACAATTAGAGCACGGATGCTGACCGTCGCATTTGCGCTTCATGCTCCTGCAGGACGAACAGGCGTGTTTAGTTTTAGTCGACATTGTTTGCTCTTACTGAGTTGTTTGAGGCAGCGATATGAGAGGCCATCAAGGTCGATCAAGCTTAGAAAAATGCTGCAATAGCCCAGTTGAAACACCACTCCTTTAAGCTTGGCGAAATATGCAACTAAGTCAGTGTGGCCGAGTGGTTAAGGCGATTGACTCGAACTTTCCTTTCTACGGAATATATTCGATATCAATTCCATTCGTGGGCACAGGTTCGAATCCTGTCGCTGACGATTTTTTTCTCCTTGCCGGAAACACCTAGGGCAGCAAGTCTCTCGCCATGAATTTTTTTTTTTACAAAGTGAGTGGGTCCATCCATCCATATCGCATCGTACTATGTTTTTGAAGGGCGGCAGGGCAAACAATATTTACAACATATGCTGTGTAGACCACTGGCCCACTTCCAACATCATGTAGCCAGACTGGATACGGTATACCCCCGGCCCCAGAGAAGCCCTTAAATTCTAAGATATGGATTGAATATGCAGACCTCTAATGCTTACCAGAGTCCATAGCATCATGCAATGCCCGATACAGCTGACACCTCTGATCCAGCTCTTTAGCATCAACAGTTTGAAACAATCCCTGGGTCACACCATCTCCATCAGTCTTCGGCCCATCACCAAAGATTCCAACCCGAGGGACAGTCTCCCAGCCGGGCCCAGCAGACGGATTTCTCGCGAAGTCAGCCCACGTTTTCTGCATCAGCTGGCTTAGTTCCTTCTGAAGCTTCGTGGCCCCCTTCTCGTTGTATGTGCCGAAGACCAGATCAACCTCCGCCGAGTGAAAGGCCCCGCTACCAGCTAGTGGATTGGTATTCGGAAAGGTGGCATTGAAGTAATATAGCCAAGCATCAATGCCTGCAGACGTGCTGTCATTAGCGACGCGCTGCGCCGGGCACTGAAATCCAAATTCAGTCAGAATCTTCGCTACACGATCGCGCTCAGTCTTAACCCCCGGAGTGCCCAGCGGGTATTCTTTCAGGATAGCGTGAAGCAGAGTCGTGTTATTATCCAGGACTCCACCGAGAAAGGCGCGGGCTTCGGTCGCATTCTGTCCAACGACTAATGTTTGGCCTTCGTCAGCATTGCTCCCGATCAGTACAGGCACACGGGCGACCTTAGAGGGGTCATCCGTAGACTCCAGACGGTTCTGATGTGGGCTCTTTGGCCAGGTAATCCCATCGGGAATTGGGGAGAAGTTGAGCATTTTCCGTTCAGCAATCTCGTTAAGTCGCTTTGCAGGGATGGCGCGAACACATTCAAGCTCATTCGTATTCTGGCAGTTGGTAGCATTCACCAGGGCTTTCCAATCATTCCCGGCAATGGCAGCCAGTAGCGTTGTCGTACCGGATTCCATGATAGCAGCGCGGAACGGAACAGGGTCTGGAGGAGTTGTAATGAGAGCGTCCACGCTCATGGACCCTGCGCTTTCGCCTACAATGGTGACTTTGTTTGGGTCTCCGCCAAAAGCAGCAATGTTTCGCTGGACCCAGGCTAGGGCAAGACGTTGGTCGAGTAAGCTTATATCTGGTTAGCATTGGACTATACTAGCTGATAGTGAATTGCCTCCAGCTCACCCAAGATTCCACTCTGATATAGGTAGGTCAGGAGAGCCCGGGAAACCAAAGACATTGGTGCGATAGTTGCTGGTGACTACCACCACGTCCTGGTTCGCCGCAAGGCTGGTGCCATCATAAATAGGCAGGGAACTCGCTCCTATCGCAAAACCACCACCGTAGATCCAGAAGAGGACAGCCTTAGAGCCCTCTGGTGCTTGCTGTGGGGCGAAGATATTCAGGTGGAGACAGTCTTCACTTTCCTCGCCGCCCCGAGGCGGAGGCGTGTCGAATGCTGCAATTGTTCGGTTCCGTGAGGCCTCTGGGTATTTGAACTGCTGAATACAGTCGGCTCTATACTGTGATGCATCGTAGACCGAAGACCACGGCGCAGGAGCCTGTGGGGGACTGAAGCGCACGGGAGGGGCACCAAAGGGAATACCAAGGAATTGGTTCACAGTAACAGTGGAGGATGAAATGGATGCCGTAGTTCCGGCAACTACACCCGCATCAATAGTCACTGTGGGGTGACTGTCTGTCTTATTGACTAGTGATGAGAGGGTTCTACTCGCGAGAAGGCCAAGTGAAAAAAAGGTTGAAGCCAACATGGTGCATTAGAAACTGCAAACACCAACCAAATCTGATCATATTTACAATGAAAACCCGACCAAATCGTGACGATGGATACTAAATAGATGTACATACATTGCCAGGTGTACAGAAAGTATATGATCTCATCAGCTTTCTGCCCACCGGTATCTTCGGAATAAGCGGGCGATGTCAGCTCCACATGGCACGTCCAGATGCGTCATATAAGCAACTTAACCTTCGCAGGACTTGATGGAAGATATATCCGGTCCGTCCTATTCGATTGATATGTTTTATAAGCTTGGTGTGTATTTACTGCCTCGTTGATCTAAGGCATGCCTATCAGCAAGTGCATTGATCAGCTACATGAAGGCACTTACAGGCCATTCTTGGCAGACGAAATCTTGACCCACCACGAACCTTTTTTACTTTTAAATTTGGTTCGTAGACACACTTTCTAGGTCGACCTTAGCCATAAAGTCAATAATCCCACCCCCCCCAGCAGAGTCCGATGGTGTCTGTGGCAAAAGTTGCAGCCCAATGTGATAGAGCTTAGATGGCCTGATCGGCCTCGGTTCAGTTTTCAACTAGAATGACCTGGGAAACTGCGATACAAACACTCTAGCGCTATTGCGCTGTACTATCAGCAAAGGGACTAGTACATAAATGCTGACAACTCTACCCTGCTTCCTCCATATAAATCTTGGTCGGGAATTCTACGTCTAACATTCAGGATGTGACGGTTGTGTAGGGTTCCCTCACTAGATTAGCGGCCCGGCCCAGACATGGTGACGGGTGGCGCCGAGGAGCCAAAGAGTGAGAGGGCTTAGTAGTATAGGTCTTTTTACTAAACACCATATCATTCAATGTATCCTTTTCCTGCCTTTGTATTTTGTTGTTTCTTTTTCTAGTTAGGTTTGCCATGCTCTCCATATCTCTTGCTCCTTTTCCTCCTTTTTATCTTGACTCTTTTTTACTTTCTGACCCACCCCGGGAGTCCGGGGTAGCCGTAGATGAAAAATTATCTCTTGATAAAACCGTCGAGCAGTCATAATGTACACTTAGAAGACTTACAGTGTTGAAATAGCCACCTATATTAAACCCATGCAGGGTAAACCGATAAAGTAATCATCAGACGCGAATCGACACGTTTGGCAAATGTGTCTCCCCCTCACATCGTGGCAAATTGGCAGCACCACCAAAAGCCCCCAAACCCTATTCCAAGCCATGTCCATAAGAGAGGTACTATACATACAGTCCTCGTATGATCTCCGAACATAAAATGGCCGATAAAATGGGCAGGTAAGTGAGGGGTTGCGCCCATGGATGTAACGCTACATATCCACCGCAACATATCCACCGAGGCTGAAGAACAGGGATCAGACAGGGATTATGAGAGCGACACTTTGGATAAGAGTAACGCCAGTACGCACCACTCTTGCTCATTGGCCTCTCTAAGGAACCATTTTCTGCATGGCGCGTCTTGAGGGCGGATATTTCTCGGTATTGGTTAGGATTTAAAATATCGCTCGTCACCGTTGGCGGGGTTGTGCTGTATGAGAACGTATTCGGCCGAATAGAGTGGATATCGGTAGAACTGCTTATATATCAATGGGGAGCCAGAGTAGGGGATATCCCTTGGATAAATTGCAGGGAGGGATCACCTATTGTGTACGTGCTTATTCTTTTCTCAACCTTGCTGACTGCTGGAACGTGGCGATAGAATTATGGCTCAGGAACACCATTTGGATGCGCTCGTCGTGGGTGCCGGTTTTGGTGGTATCTACACACTCTATTCCCTCGTCAAGGAGGGTCTGAATGTGAAAGCTATCGATACGGCTGGTGATGTCGGTGGTACGTGGTACTGGAATCGCTATCCTGGTGCGTTAAGCGATACGTGGAGTCATCTTTATCGATTTCTATTCGACCACGAGCTCCTGCAAAGCTACCCCTGGAAGAAATGGTATCTCACCCAGCCCGAGATCTTGGAGTATCTCCGTCATGTCGTGGAAAGATACGATCTCCGCAAACACATGCAGTTCAATACCAAGATGCAAAGCGCGGCATGGAACGACACGACCAAGACCTGGAAGGTGCAGTGCGAAACAGGCGACGTCTTCCATGTGCGATATCTCTTCACGGCGCTTGGAGTCCTGGTGAAAGCCCACTACCCCGATATCCCCGGGATGGACACATTCAAAGGAGAAATCAACCACACCTCAGCGTGGAACCCAGACGTGGAGCTCGAGAATAAGCGTGTCGGTGTTGTTGGCGTCGGATCATCGGGCGTGCAGGTCGTGACGGCCATCGCGGACAAGGTTAAATCGCTTCATGTATTTGTCCGACGCCCGCAGTACAGTGTTCCCAGCAGGAATCGGGATGTGACGCCGGAGGAACGCGCACGGATCAACAAAGATTATCCAGGAATTATCACCGATGCCCGCACGTCCAACTTTGCCATGGGGACGCCAGAGCCTGCGAGAAAATTCATGTCAGTGTCACCGGCAGACCGCGAGGAACTACTGGAGCGGCTGTGGCAGACGGGGAACGGCTTCATGTTCATGTTTGGCGGGTTTTCCGATATTGCCACGGATGATGCTGTAAATGAGGAAGTCTGTCAATTTCTGCGTAAGAAGATTGCCAGTATTGTCAAGGATCCGCAGAAGCGAGACGTCCTGACACCGAGGGAGCTCTACGGCCGTCGACCTCTGTGTGATGGTGGGTTCTACGAGAAGTTCAACAAGGAAAATGTCTATGCGGTGGATGTCAAGGGAAATCCAATTACGGAGGTAACACCTACTGGCATTCGCATGGCTGATGGCACAACCCACGAGCTCGATGTCATTATCTTTGCGACTGGGTTTGATGCCGTGGATGGCACTTATGCGATGGTTGACATCCGAGGCCGGGATGGCAACAATTTATATGATGTTTGGAAAGCTGAAGGCCCAAGCACTTACGTAGGGATGTCTGTGCATGGGTTCCCAAACCTCCTTCTAGTCAACGGGCCACACATGGCGTTCGGCAGTATTCCTACATCAGGGGAGACTAACACCGAATTTATTATGGATTTGGTCCGACGGGCCGAGGAGGTATCTAAGCAGACGGGGGGTCAGTGCGAAATCGAAGCCTTAGAAGACGCCGAGCGCGCATGGACAGAACGCAGTAGGGCCTCGGCAGTGGGAACAGTGTTTGAGAAAGTTCCTTCTTGGTTGTTAGGGAATAATGTCGCTGGGAAGGCTGTGGGGGTATCGTTTTACTTTGGTGGTCTGGGAACGTTTAGGGCATTCCTGGCTGACATAAAGGCTAAAGCCTTCGAAGGGTTCAAAAGCCCCTTAGGTCCAGCTATTCTGGAAGCACAGCTATAACACAGTTGATGTATTGAATAGAAATATGGAGGATGGCTAGAGGGTACTAGACATGTTTAAGGGGATATGCTGTGGGGATTACCAGAGGATTCAGTGCTCAGTAACAATGGAAACTAAAAATATATTAGTAACACAAGATATATGAGTACAACTGACGTCGGATAAATAGCGAGCAGCTTTGTGTATTAGGTCTATATACAACTTATTTTTGACAAAGACTATTGAGGAGCACACTGATTATCGGGACCTCCTCTATCCCGCATATTTGGCCGTGTCTCATTTCCTGTTTCAGACTCAGCGTCCAGACGCCGCTGAATTCTCTCCCAGTCCGGCTCTTCATCAGGCTGCAAATCAATGGCTTCTTCGGCTAATACTGCATGTTGTATGTTACCTTGGCGCCGCATATCCTGAGCGAACTGTCGCAGCAGGTAAGCACGAAGGGTGGCATCCGGCTCACTTCGTGCACTTTGTTCACTTCGTCGTGGTGGGACTGGTGGTGGTGGTGATGATGATGCTGTTCCACTCATCTGTGCCTCCACGTATTCTACAATTTTGCGTAGTAAAGTGGATCGCATCCCGTTCTGGACTTTCCAGCACTTTACCTGCATGGGGACAGTAGGACCAGTGTAGACCCCGTTTGGGTGGTTAATGGCCAGAGGCCAGAGGTCCTCTAATAAAGCAGACTGGGATGACAGCATTGCATAAAGATCTCCCCAGATTAGATTACCAAGAATACGCATTTGTCCGTAGTAACCGGGAGATTCGTCCGGGCGTTCAATGCCTTCCTTCGGATCATAGTGAGCATCAACTGCAAGAACGAACCCTGAGTGATCGCCGGAAGGGATAAATTCGGTGGCCGCCGAGTATGAATCTCCCATGTAGGAAGCGACACAAGCATCATCAATGACTAGGAATGTGCTATTATCGACACGGTCCGTGTCCTCGAATGAGGAAATCGCATGATCGTTGAAATGTCTAAAGTTTGACCGGTCAATATTACTATTCCTGAGGTTGATACTGAACACCATACTCACTTCTTTGCCGCATCAATGTCCCCCTCTGGGATCCCCAGGGCCTTTCCGTCCAGCCAATGCAGCTTGAGAAGCGGTTTAATGGCGTTGGAACCGGTTTGACCCCGGCCCCAATCGGCCACATGCGTCTCTAACTTTTGCAAAAACCCCGCCCATTCAGTGTCATTCTGTTTATAGGTCAGACGGTAGATGGCAAGTCCAAATCCGCCAACAGGATCCTTGTCGGATTTTTCCAGCCTAGCCAGGCTTTTCGCAATCCACGGCTCACGCGGTACTGGCTCTATAGGCTCGCCCCTTGTTTCCCGTCGGACCTTGTTCTGGCTCTCAATCTGCTGCAAAGCGGTCCGGTGGAGTGATTCCGGTGATCCCATACCTTCACCAACACCCCGAGATGTGGTGCGTATATTCTGAAACATGATCATGCGACTGACAAGCTTCAGCCTCTGCTGATGTTCTTTACCTCGCTTCTCATAATCGGGTGACCTTAGCCCTGGTGGAATACCCGTCTCAATCGGTGATGGAGTATGCCCCTTGTACCCATGCATGGGTATCATGATTGTATAATCCGCCACGGCCGAGATCTCCATGAGCACATGCAAGGCATCCGTCATCTTCCACTGCACCCTATCTACGATACTCTCATCCATCGGACGATGCGACAACAAGCCCTCCAGAAGGGGAGCGCGCAATGTATTCACATGCGAGATGACCCAGCGATGCGCACGCTCAGTCATCATCTCATAATGAGCTGCGATAAACTCCGTCCAGCGCTTCGCCACGCTGACAGGCTCCTGTTCCAGCCGGCGATGCTGGCCATTCAAAACCGCATCACACTCCTCCCAATGCGCATAGATCAGGTTAAACGTGTCCCGAAGATTCTGGGCCACACGCGGCTTATTAAGATACTCAAAGACCGCCAACACAGAAGACAGATACTGACACGCGACCTGGAAATTCGCAAAATGGTCAAGACCCTTCTCGCGCCATCGCTGCTCCGAAAGCGGGATGATACCCTCCCAGGCCCGGCTCTTGGCTGAGTGGATATTCTTCCCCACAATGCAAAGCCGATCGCCATCCTCCCTGGACCCGATTCTTTTCATTACGCGTTCCAGAAACGGTTCGCCGTTAGGGTCAGCGTCCGGGTGGGTAGAGAGGCTGTGGATCTCCTCAGCTGTTAATTTGGGTAGCGTGGACTGCTTGCCATTGGGGAGTGGAGCTCCGTGACAGCATTCTAGAAAGTGGACGATCGTCTGGGGTTCCAGGAGTCGATCAACTGTGCAGATCAGTTTCATGTTTCATCTTTTTCTAGCATTGCCGGGATACCCGGCTTACCTATTTGTAACTCTTCCTGAGACTCGCGATGTACTTTGGTAATCGCGTGGCCGGGACTGTGGATATGTCGATATGGGATACCGCGTGGCATTGTGAGGAACTGGTTTGAATGATGCTCATGGCATTCTTTAATGGTCGGGAAATGGCAATCTTATAATTTTGCATTGTCCCCTGAAATTTCCCATGCTAGAGGCTAGGGTCTTTTAGTGTCATGAGGTGAGCGATGCCTAGTGGCTGCCTGGATGTTGGCCTGGATGGTCTAACCACTTTGACTGTAGTGTTCCAATGTCAAGTTGCAACACTACCAGCACTCATCCACTACCTCGGACAAATGGCTGTTGTTTTTGATTTTATTTTTAGCTTTACTAGTCCTCTAAAGATATATGATATTATCGACTCAAAATTGACAGAGAAGCTATTTCATTCTTAGAACACTTCAATTCAAAATATACTTACTATTTACTATTAATACTGCGCAGTATACTCTACTCTGCCTTCCAGTTTGGTTACGAAGCCCTAGGACTAAGCCGGATTAGAGGAGGGTCCGGAACGCCCCGGGCCTACAACGCGAGTACTCGCCAGTAATGATGAGACGTGAGCGAAGTGAAGCAACACAGATAACCTGGCTTCATATTATTAGTGAGTTTTTTATGTTATCAGCATTAGTTCCTGCTACAAGGTATTCCTTATACTAGACCCTTCGTCGGCATCTTATGCCTCCAGGAGGTTGCCCCCACGCCTTGTAAACCTAGAACCCACGTATCAATCATTTATCCCATAGTACAACATCGCCTCATCATCTAGTTCGACAGTTTCGCCATCCGACATTCACTCATGGACCAAAACACCTCTATATCTCATTCTTCCTTCCCGAAGTGTCTCCATCGCCTCCTCAATTCCATCCCGACTCAACGGGAACGTCATCATGACAGGCTTTATGCGGTGCCGAGCAGCGAAATCCAGCATCTCGCGTTGGCTCCCCCGAGTCGCAGGCAGACTACCCTGAATGCGCAGAGCCTTCATAACCAACGGCAGATAGGGGACCCTCATATCATCCATATCCACCGTAAGAGCATAGATAGTTCCCCCAGGCGCCATAACCCGGAAAACAGCATCCCAGTTCGGCTGCCTCGACGAGGTGACAAGCAGATGATCCAGAGGCTCCATTACAGGCGGGGCAGAATCACCGAAAACATGGAACTCAGTAGCCCCAAGGGCCAACGCTTCATCCCGTTTAGACTCGGTCGTGGACAGCACCACCACTTGACAACCCATTTTGGCCGCGAACTGAATCGCAAGATGGCCTAGGCCACCGACCCCGATCACGCCCACGCGCTCGGTCGGCGCAACGCGGAATTTATGTAATGGCGAGAAGACGGCGCTCCCTGCGCACATCAGGGGAGCGGCTTCGGCGTTGGATAGCTCGTCGGGGATTTTGGAAAGGAAGTCTTCTGGCCAGATGGCTGCTGAGGCAAAGGAGCCTTGGTGGGTATTACTTTCGCCGTAGATCTGTCGTTGGTTGCAGTATAGCTCCTCGCCGCGCAGGCAGTACTTGCAGTGGCGACAGCTGCCGTGTCCGTATCCCCAGCCTACACGGTCTCCTCTGTTTTCATGAAGGTTAGTGAAGGTTAGTGAAGGTCTAAGCAGGGGGTAGGTGAAACAAAATAAATGAGAATAGGAAAGAGGAAAGTTCACGGCAGGCCTACATCTTTAGCAAAGTGACTTTGCGACCGATTGCTTTGACAACCCCCGCCCCTTCATGTCCGAGCACAATGTCGGCACATTTGTAGTGTTCATCGGTCCCGCAAAGACCGGAGTGAGTGATCTGGACGAGTACTTCATTCTCCTGAGGGTCAGGATGCTGAATGCGACTTTCCACGATCTCCCCATTCGGTGAGCCTTTGAAAACGGTGAACTCCTGCATGTTGAAGTGAATTGATGGAAATACTATCGGAGTTAAACAAGTCGATGAATGGAGAGCATATATGTAGGTGAAACTCTTCAAGGAGTTTTAAAATATCTATGAGAGCATAAGCGTTGTGCAGTTATGTCGAATCATAGTTGATTCGGTGACTATGGAGTGGACATTGTCCTGGAAGTAGCCAATCACATCAGGTTCCGCTGGAGAAGTTTTCCGCCCCCTTCAGCGGAACCCTATGGCGTCGACCAGTTATCTTTGGTACTAGTCGGCCCTTGCAGCTAGGTCTTCACCTATTTGCCAATTCTAAATCATACTCTGAGCACGATGAACATCATTTTCAGGAGCGATTGGGTAGTTCAGTAGCAAGTTTTGCCAGGTCTAGAACCCAACTTAGGGCCCACGCATAGCTATAAGAAGGCCGACCAGTCACCACCTGAGCATGTATACTTTGCATCACTTTAGCATACTACCAGTGTCCAGTCATACAACTTCACTCTACAACATCCAACCTGCAGCATGTCCACTCTCCAGGAGCAGAACAAGGCGGTGGTGCAGAAGTACTTCGAAGAGTACTGGGGCAAGGGCAACGTTTCCATTGTGGACGAGGTGTGTGCCGACAACTTTGTTATCGATTATCCCATGCATGGACCCCGGCGTGGTAAAGAAGCGGCGAAGAAAATGCTGCTCGAATTTCGCGAGGTAAGAAAACTGGACACAATCCTAAATATGCAAACAGAAGATGGCCTAATATCTCATACTCTATAGGCGTTTCCGAATATTTCCTTCCACGCCTACAAATTCCCTCTGATTGCAGAGGGGGATTATGTAGTTGGTCGCTGGATCGGGGGCGGCAAGCACACCGGCCGGCATTCGATGATCTTGCAGTTGGCACGCTCGACAAGGCAAATACGGGGAGAGAGGTGTATTTTTCAGGCACAACGATTTTTACCTTGAAGGATGGCAAGATTGTGGACGAGATTGGTGAAGAGCAAGCTCTGACTGCTCTGCAGCAGCTGGGACTAGTCTCGCCTCCCAATCCGGGAAAGGAGATCAAATATGATGCGGATGGGAATCATGTCTGAGGGAATATGAGACTGCTGGGGCGAGCAAGCAGTTATTTTGACTTGCTCAGTGCCTTGGGACGATTTACTAATTTACTGGTTTCCTTCCTATCTGGCTCAATGGAGTATTGTCTTGTAGGACTTGTCACTTTGTTGCATCATTTCTGTATTCCGTATGCAATGAGTGGTGGTGCAGCACTGCGAAAGAATGATCCAGGTGCAAATAAGACCAGGCCTTTGCCGATTGGAGTAACGTGGCCTCATGTAGGAGTGATACACATTGTAAAGTACGCTAGTTCATTAGAGACGTTATAGCCATCCAATAAAAATATTTATGACAGAGATTCTTGGAATGTATTGCCGAACAGATGAACGTGCGTTGCATTAGGGGTTGTAGAGATAACGCCAGAGTATATACAAACCTTTGCGTCGTCAACCAGCTGTGTCTGAACCAGCAAACCAGCTGGCCTTAGAGGTGTATTTTACGCAATGGGCATCTTGTTCAGCAGCGTGGCGGTGGAAATACTTGTTATAATTGCTGGATCCCTTTTAGAAGATATTTTCAAACTTGAGGGAATATATTCTTTTAAAAAGTTATCTGTATTTGCTATTAGTTCCTATATTTAAATTCACTAGATACGTTCATAGGTCACCTCAGGCCTACAAGCATAGCTCGAGTAGACGTAACCCTCATGTCATCAAACGTTCGTTACTCTGGATTAATACAGGTGTTACAGTTGGAGGCAGACTGATGACTGGTTACTTCAATGTTTCTTTAAGTGCCTAAGAATGTATATACACAGTTGGACAACGTACGTGTACATGTAGCGCTAGGAGAACCTTTACATATCACACCAATTTACAGCCTCGGGTTTGTTAGAAATGGCTCTCTTCGACTGAGGCTCGGCAATCCACGTCATTCAGACAAGGATACATGTGCCAGGCATCCGCGGGCTGCGATCACGAGATATCCATAGAGTATAGGCACCTGTTGTAAACTCCCATCGTGGCGCCTTCCTTCTTGGACGATTGGATATACAGTCACCTCCAGGAGGGACCGTCGCGCGCTCGTCAGTGCCAGGTGCTCACTCCTGTTTGTACACTGTTTATGTCTCATATTCACATCATACCTCGTTCTTCTCCTTGACCAAAACTATTCGCAACTCCTGCCTTCAATCACTACAACAAGGAAAAATGACTCGTACTATTTACTTGGCCATTTCCTCCAATGCTGCCAAACCCGCTCATTTCTCTGTGTTTATTCCTACGAATGACTCGGGTGAGGAGGGAAAAGTGATCCATGTTACTGGGAGTCCGGCCATAGGGTTTTTTCTTGAATTCAAGCGCAACTACAGCATCGCTGACACGCTACGCGAATACCAAATCGTTCCCCTGGCGCAGGTGAATGGTCGGTATGTAGCTGATACAGTCGGCGATAGGCAATTATCGCTTGACACAACTGCCCGCGATCGAATAGAATCAATCGCCACTATGGTGCCTCCCCCTGCTCGGAGCCCTAACCCGTTTGATCCTTCGGTACGTATATCCAATAATAAAGCCATCACAGAAAATTCTAACCGAGCTCTGGTACAGGCTCCTAATTGTCAAAACTGGATGCATGATTACGTCCAAACCCTTGTCGAACACGGTATCGTTGGAAGTAGTGCTCTTTCGGTCGTTCAAAATGCCCGAAGAATACTCTGATGCCATGTTGGCAAAGCAGCGTACACTATGAATGTGTGCCTTGGTTTTCCTACTTCGCTGTTCCTCTTTTATTCTTCTCACCTTACTTCCATTACTGTCCATTTTCTTAGCTGCAACAGTCATTCACTACTTGGTTCTTAAATTCTACCAGTTGATGCCATAAGCTGCGGGTCTAGCATCCCATAGAACCCGTATACCAGTCCCACGGCTCCCAAGTGCTGGTATACGGATCCAAAATCATGGGCAAATACCGAACAGACCATTCCTCACGCCAGTGGGCAGTATACTGTGCCTTGCGGGCCTCCCAATAGGCAGGTAGCCAGCCGGATTGCTCCCAATCGATAATGGCCAGAATACGGTATGGGGGAAACAGTGTTACAATGATATTGCTTCGGTGGAGATCGCCATGGGTAAACTTGATTGTACTGTTGTCAGGCAAGTCATGGCGAAATGGTTCGACCGGGACTGAGTATGGATCCGACATTCGCCGTCGGGGGAGAAACGTGAACCATTCGTGAAAATCACGGACAGTCGCAAATGGCCCAGCTTCTGACATGTAACTTAAATGGAATGCTCTGTCATAGAGAGACGCACGTACTACATTGCCTATAGTACAGAAAGTTAGGTATAGGATAGAAGGATATAGGGTTGGGGAAGACATTTTACCTATAAATGGATCAGACGGGTCCTGTTCCAGTCGGCGTAAATTATCAACGATTGTTCGAAGTTCCCGGCAAATCGAAACCCGATCGTCAGGTTCCATCATATCCCACACTTTTTCCAGAGTTTGTCCCTCTGTATATTCCATATAAATGAACTTCTCGTCTCCATCTGTACGCCAGCCATATACCTCAGGGACTGGAACATTGTCTCGAAGAAATCGGCGGATAGCATACAGACACTGAGCCTCTGAGACTCTCACGCTGCTCCCCCATTTGACAAACAGTCTCATATTCTCGAATAGCACAGGAGGGGGTGATACGTAAGGGGGGTCCGGGTAGTAGACCTTTCTCTTGTCCGGATTGATTCCCAAAAGATGCTGAGCATCGCCTTGTGCGCGAACCTCTTCTGGTGAGGGCAGCTGGCTCCATTTGCTGAAAAAAAGTTGAATCTTCGACGTCAAAGTTGGGTAAATTAGGGATCATCGACGGCGTCAACTGGACGGGCTCAAGTTTGTTGTCCATTTTGATTGCTTGGAGGAATAGATTAACTTCAGTAGAATATCTGTGGATAGTTTATTAAGTCCAGGAGGGCATAGGATAAGGCGGGGAGAACATCAACTCTAAGCATAAGGCGTATGGCCGCTAAGGAACAGCTGCAAGGCAGCCAGTTAAATAAGATTGGAATCCAGTCTGATGTCATCTCGCGGTCTAGTCTGCATTTGGTTTTTCACAACATTCAAAGACTGCTCTACTCTCGCGGGAGTCTCGTTTTGACGGTATTCCTACCTCTAATCCTATTTTGTATCAAAGGAAACAATACCTAAATACACGACTCAGAATAGAGATCTATTATTCATCACTTTGTAAAAAAATGTATTACCAACTGGCTAGAAGTTTTACTAGTGTCCAATAGCTTGACATTCATGCCTCGGCCGGCGGATTGCGTTTTGAGGAAGTGTATCAAGACAGTCCTAAGATGTGGTGCCATCTACTGTCATATTACACACATATATTGGCCAAAGGAATCCTTCGGAGAATCACTAGTCTGTGTTCATCCAAAGGGGACAATTGTGACTCCCCTATTGGATATCAAACACTCTTGGAGAGATCTAGTTTGTACATATTTCAACCAGGAAGTGTCTAGATTCAAATATTGGGCTTCACAGCAGTAAAGGCTTTGATCATCTAAGTATCATTGAATTATCCATGCAGCATTGGCTAATGGAAGATTTCCTCTCTATAGCGGAATAGTTTAGAATATCAAAACGGATAGCAGAAGGAACAAAGGGAAAACAGACGAAAGCAAAAATGAAATGAAGAACAAAAGAAGACACAGAGCAGAGAGGGGGAAGTGCACCGCCCGCGCATCAAACAGGTAGACCAGCCTATTCACTTTCCCTGACGATGAAAGGGCTGGTTCTCTGGCCCAGAGGGAGGCGCAGGGCGTATAGGCAGGCCTTGGGTCAACCGTGGAAGAGTATTATTTGATGTCACATGGGCAATAAAGCGATAGGCGCTGTCATCTGCTGGAAGCATCGTCCACAGCTCTACAGGCATTGTGACAAGTATAAGACCTGAGCCCTGGAAGGCGGCCTCGATCTTGACATCTACAGCCAAGACTCCAGGCGGCATGTTCGTCGTGAGCCACTTGGTCCATGATTTCAGATCCAGCTCCGAGATCTCATCACGAGTCTTCACACTGATGAGCACCCTGTTAGATCCCGGGGCCTTCAAGGCCTTTAGTCTCTGCACCTCTCTCGGTTCCAATTTCTGGAGAGTGATACTTGGCGACCCTTTCTTTGGTATATGTACGGGGCAAGCACCTATCTGATTTTGGTAGGCGTTTCGGAAAAGCCGAGCATAGATCCCGGCAGCAGTCGCGGGTGCCCCTTTCAAGTCGTTGAGGGTGTCAATGAGGACTTGTGTGAACGAAAAGTCGGGGTTACCTGTTGCCATTTGTCCCCATCCCGAAGCCGCAATAGTCTCCGGACCTGGTTCCATGGCCGCCGAAGCAGCGGAGCAGCAGTCGAAGATGTAAAGAATGTCCCCTTCGATAGTATCAATTGCGCCGCTTACGCCTCTCCAGTCAATTCTAGGCCCCATGAGATATCCATTTGCATTGGCTTGTCCCCTGTCCATACTATTAGCTAGGTAACGGTTATCTGAGGGAGAGGGATGCTTCACATACGCTATAAACCATCGGAAGTCCGTTGTACCGGCAAATTCTGCGTGTCCAGAATACACAACTATTCTGAGTGTATGATCTCCACCCCTAGAATTGGACCATGAAAGGAGCTTGTAATTCAAAGAATGATGTGACCTAATGACTGGAATCTCATAACTCTCAGTCCTGAAGTTATAGACCCCCTCAAAAATATTCAGGAGCTCAGATTCGAGGCGACCAACGCGCATATCATCGTTCTGCCAACGGAAGGCCAGTACGGACACGTCGCGGTAATATCCATGCGCAGTCGGAGTCACACCATCCAAGGCCTTTTTGAGGTCGGATGCAAAGTCCTGGAGCAGCTTCGGATGTTCGCTCCTTAAGTTGTAGGCACGTAGAGGCTTCAGGGAGGCCATGGTCGCGTAGGATATGAAGGCCAAGATAGGTAAAGATGGGACGGGGGGAGAAAGAGACGGTGGGCGTGGGATCCTGCCGTTTAACATGCAGGTGTCCTAATGAGGAGATTGGTACCAGCTTCTGCTGTGTACCACACAGGTGTGGTAATGACAAAATTAGCACCAGCTTGTGCTGTATGCCACCAGGATGTTCGATCAAAGAGGCGAGAAGAAATACAAGACGTAAAGTGAGGTGTAGTTGACTGGTTCAGGATCTTGCGTACAAGGATGTAGGTAGCTAAATAAACGAGAGTAAGAGTAATGAAATCGGTGGATATGAAAATATTCACTGAGCTATTTATTAACTTGTGTTAGCAAGGAAGTAAATATCAAACACATCACCGTAACACTTACATTACCCTAATTGTTGATCACAATGAGGTAATTTGTGGTATGAATGAAAAGTTAGCAGATATGGGTGCCTAGGTAGAGCTTCAGTATGTACCAAGGACTATTAACTTGGACCTTTCCCTATCACTTGGCAGGCTTTCTAGTGAAAGACCAGTTATGCCGTAAATACTAGCCCTTCCTCTCTTTCTTTTTGCTTTTTGTGGGTTTTAGATCCTCCTTTCCTTCCATTTCACGACATCGATATCGATATAGTCATCCCAATTAGGGTCACTGATTCACATCCTCGGTATGTCGATAAACTGACAGCCGTGGGAAAGCTTCACCAACTGCCACACTCGTATTGATATCGATGTGTGATCACTTAAAAGGGCTATTTATTCCTGCTTTGAAATACCCTCCAGATTCTGCGCCATACCCAAAAATGCCTGGATTATCGTGACCCTGAATAGTTCGGCATATTGCTGCAGGGTTTCTGTAATGGCCATACCGACGCAGAAGGATCAGATTGGTGTTGATTGCCGCGAATCTGAATTCATGGATATTTTCAGGCGATCTACAAAGATCAATTTAATCGGTACTGTACCAACTACATTACCCCAATAAATGCAAAATAGTAGATCTAGGTGCCACATACCGCCTCTGTACCTGATATACAAGGTTCCCGGGGGAGTTAGGCGCCGGCCGAGCGCCTAGGACTACTATTGACTTAAGGTTGCCATGAATATTGGCCCCCCTGTTCTCTTTCCTTGGCCTTCCTATTGCTTTTGAGGGTTTGGATTGTTTTCGAGCCTACCTACAAAAAAGATATCCATTTTCTGCGGAATCTACGACAGCCATACCTCAACATATTCCCGACTAGTGGATCACTTGACACTCGCGGAAAAACTGCGGTGTCTGCCACATCACCATTGCACCTGCCCGACATACGACCGGTTTAAAGGCCTAACCAGTCTTGTTGTTTTT